TCGACGACGACTATATATAGAACCCCACCCCCCCCCCACCCACACACACACACCCTCTCCCCCTTCCTCTTCCCAACCCTGCGTGCGCTTTTGTGCTGCTCTGGAGAAGATAATATCCAGAGGACTGCTTTATAACTTGCAGATGTGCACTGGACAACATGTGCACTCCATTCTAACACCAAATTTGTAACATTAATCAAATTAATTAATGCTCCTCTATTCAGCACTCCTTACTCAGGCTGAGTTTCCTCTGCAGTTAATAGGCAATATGATCCACCATTATAAAAGCACCATATTTGTGCTAGGCTTTGCTCAAATACCAAAGTGCACACCGTCCCTGCCTCAAAGAGTTTACAAGCCATAGGAAGATAAACTGCAATGACTACCCCTGATTATGGCCTTGGCTACACTCAGGACTTCCCAGTGCTGCCGCGGCAGCGCTGTGAAGCGCGAGTGTAGTCGCGCCGCCAGCACTGCGAGAGCTCTCTGACGGGAATAGCTTGCAGCTCTGTAAGTACTCCACCTATCTGAGGGGAATAGCTTGCAGCGCTACAGGCTTTGATTATACTGGCACTTTACAGCACTGCACTTGCTGCGCTCAGGGGGGGACGTTTTCACACCCCTGAGCGCAGCAAGTTGCAGCGCTGTACAGCGCCAGTGTAGCCAAGGCCTATAGACTCTAATATCCCAATCTCAGGCCTTGGCTACACTTGCAAGTTACAGCGCTGTAAAGCCTCCCCCAGCGCTGTAACTCACTCCCCGTCCACACTGGCAGGCCACTTGCAGCGCTGTATCTCCCTGGGTACACCGCTGCAGGTACTCCACATCTCCGAGAGGAACAACAGCTGCAGCGGAGTGGCTACGACTCACGGGTGTGAGTGTAAACGCTTGCAGTGCTGTACTAATCACCTTGTCAAGTGGCAAATCCTCTCCATTGTTTTGACTGGCTGCAGGAATGTGGAAGTGCCGGTTTCAAAGCTCTTACCACAGAGAAAAGCAAGCAATTTGCAGCTTGCTTTGAGTGAGTAAATGAATGAGCAGGGGGCCGGGAATTCGGAACTTGCAAAATAGAGAGCTGACATGCTCCAAAAAGCACTCTCTCTCCCCCTACACTTCCTGTCACAATCCACCCCCCCCCCGCCCCATTTTGAAAAGCATGTTGCAGCCATATGAATGCTGGGATAGCTGCCCATAATGCACTGCTCCCAACACAGCTGCAAATGTTGCAAGTGTGGCCACACCACTGTGCTGGCAGCTGTCAGTGTGGACAGACTGCAGCGCTTTTCCCTACTCAGCTGTACGAAGACAGGTTTACCTCACAGTGCTGTACAGCTGCAAGTGTAGCCAAGGCCTCAGATGTTTACATTCAAACCCAACCCTTCGTTTAACTTTCCTACAGAATGTTACAAATATTGGCTATATAAAGCATCCATCAGGTGAGAATGAATTTGGAATAATATCACATACAAAATATTTTCCCTCAACCTAACACTTATGGCCAAGATTTTTCAAAAATGAAATCCTAAATGCAGGCTCCTAAATCCACACTTAGGCCTCTATATAAGTGGGTTGATGGGAGTAGTTGGGCAGTTCAGCACTTTTGAAAGTCAGGCCACTTATTTAGGTGCCTAGATAAGGACCTAGGAGACTGGAATCTAAATTTAATCTCTCATTGTTAAAATTTTGGTACTTGGTTCTCTGTATCAAACCTACAGATATGGTTCTCTAAACAGGGGTTACCAGTCTCATTGCTTCTCCACCTTTCAAACAAGTCTGCCTACATTTAGAGCATTTTTTTTTTAAATTAGTATTTCTACCCACCGCTCACAGCTGTTTCAATCACTTACTTTTATATGTTCATGTAGCTGGGCCTCATGCTGACGGGAGAGTTGCTCATGTTGCCTCTGGAACTCGGCTATAAGGATTTGTCTCTGAATTTGTTGTTTTTGTTTGAGAGCCAGGAGTTCCTGCTGGAGCTGCTGTTCTCGGAGTGTAGGTTCCGTCACTGGCATGGAAAACTGGTGGTCCAAGCGGAGATCCATGGGGACTGAAGTTGGTGCAACTTGCAAGGGCAGTGCTGTGTTCACATCAACTGCAAAACAAACAAACAAAACAAAAGGTGATCAGCCTATTCCCCGTTCAATAGTGAATTTAGCTTTGGCTTTTAGAAGACTTTCTAGGAACCACAATACCTGAATCAAAACCACCATCTCTTTTATATTTCATATTGTAAAAGGACACACAACCTAGGTATGTCAATTTATTCACTCACTGAGATGGAAGCCTGTTTTAAAAGCAAAATGTGCCCTCTCTCTTTTTGAAAAGACCTGTGATATCCGAAAACACGTATAGCAAGGAATATGATGCGTGGTATTATCAACAAACTGCACATGAGCTCTCTTGATCTCTTTTCAAGTCTGCACCAGGGAAAGTCTCCCAAATAAACTGGGTTAATAATGTTTTTAGCCAACAGCAAGCCAGTAAGTGGGACATTGGGCTCTAGGAAAACTTGCTAAAATAGAATTGCACACCTCAACTGTTGTATGCAGTGTAGTTTGAGCCATGTCAGTCCCTGGATATTAGAGAGACAAGGTGGGTGACAATCTTTTATTGGACCAACTTCTGTTGGTGAGAGAGCCAAGCTTTTGAGCCACACAAAGCTCTTCTTCAGGTCTGGGAAAGGAGGTACTCCCAGCCTCACAGCAAACTGCAAGGTGGAACAGATTGTTTAGCGTAAGTAATTAGCACATATTGTAAGGCAGGGGTTCTCAACCTTTTTCTTTCTGAGGCCCCCCAAACATGCTGTAAAAACTCCACGGCCCACCTGTGCCACAATAACTTATTTTCTGCGTATAAAAGCGAGGGCCGGCGTTAGGGGGTAGCAAGCAGGGCATTTGCCCAGAGGTCCATGTGAAGCTAAGTTACTCAGGCTTCTGCTTCAGCCCCAGGTGGCAGGGCTCAGGGCCCCGGGCTCAGCCACGCAGTGGGACTTAGACTTGCTGGGGCCCAGGGCAGAAAGCCGAACACTGATCCTGCTTGGTGTCCCCCCTGAAACCTGCTTGTGGCCCCCTGAGGGAGCCCCTGACCGCTGGTTGAGAACCGCTGTTGTAACGGACCACCCAGAGCTGACCTATCAGTCCTCATCCTCAAAGGAAACCTGCACACTTTCAAAAAAAGGAGCCTGGGAACTTAAATGCATTACTCTGCTAGACACTAAAAATCATGGACTGAACAGAGACACTGGATTTTTGGCTTATTACAGCAATCCAACACACAAATCCCTTTTTTGTCTTATGATTGCAGAGATGTTAACGGGCCACTCTACCTTGAATGGACTGTTACAATATGTGCTAACTACTTACATTAAACAATCTGTTCCACCTTGCATTTTGCTGCGAGGCTGGGAATACCTCCTTTCCCAGACCTGAAGAAGAGCTCTGTGTGGCTTGAAAGTTTGATCCTCACCAACTGAAATTGGTCCCAAAAAGAGATATTACTTCACCCACCTTGTCTCTCTACACCTTGGCTATACATAACGGAAGTCAGAGTTACTGGTAGTGATAAATAAGAAGGTAAGAACACAAGGTGATTTACAGATAGATTCTTGAGTGAACAGCAGAGCTTTCAGTTGGGGGGAGCAGGAACAGAATCTTTTAACTTCTAAATTCAACCAAAGGCCAGTTAAGAGGGTCCCATGATTGTGAAGGCAGTGATGAAGGCATCAGCTAACCTGGAAGAGTCATTAACATGAACGCTGAAGTAGCTATGGACAACTAATGGCCTTGGCCATTCCAGGGTATAAATGGGATTTGAATTGTTTAGCACAACCAGTACAGAGGAGTGATCTGGATACCACAGGGTTGCCAACTTTCTAATTGCACAAAACCAAACACTCTTGCCCTGCCCCTTCTCACTCCATCCCTCCTCCATCACTTGCTTTCCCCAACCCTCACTTACTTGCTCATTTTCACTGGGCTGGGGCAGGGATTTGGGGTACAGGAGGGGGTGAGGGCTCTGGGGTGGGCCCAGAAATAAGAGGTTCATGGTGCGGGGGTGGGGGAAGTCCAGGCTGGGCAAACAGTTGGGGTGCGGGCTCAGGGGTGGGGCCGGGATGAACGGTTTGGGGTGTAGGAGAGGGCTGGAGGGTGGAGCCAAGGGGTTCGGAGTGTGGGAGGGGTCTCCAGGCTGAGGCATGGGATTGGGGTGTGAGAGATGGTACTGGCTCTGGGCTGGGGATGTGGGTTCCAGGGTGGGGCCAGAAAAAAGGGGTTCAGAATGCGGAAGGGGGCTCTGGGGTGGGGCAGAGAGTACAGGCTCGGGAAAGGAGTTTGGGTGCGGAAGGGGGCTCAGGGCTGGGGTATGTGGTTGGGGTACAGGAGGAGATGAGGGGTGTGGGCTCTGGGAAGCGTTTACCTCTGGAGTCTCCGCGGAGGCATCAACATGTCCCTCCGGCTCCTAGGTGCAAGGACAGTGGCCAGGCGGCTCTGTGCAGTGCACACTGCCGCCACCCACTGGCATCGACCCCCACAGCTCCCATTGGCTGCAGTTCCTAACCAATGGGCGCTGCGGAGCTGGTGCTCGGGCAGCCTGTGGAGCCTATCTGGCCATGCCTACGCCTAGGAGCAAAGGGACATGTCGCTGTTTCCAGGAAGCTGTGCGGAGCTGGGTAGGGAGCCTGCCGGCCCCTCCAACCAGACTTTTAACGGTGGTGACTGGAGCCACCAGGGTCCCTTTTCGACCAGGCATTCCAGTCGAAAACCTGACACCTGGCAACCCTAAAGAGGACCCACAGTTTCACATCATAGGAGCTGCACACTAGGTGAGAAACTCATATTAATCTGCTTCTGGAATGGGAAACCTAGTGCACAGAGCACTAGACTGGAGACCTGAGGTCAATTCCTGACTTTCACTCTTCTGATGGGTGATGTTGCCTAAGTAACTTCCTTCCTGATGCCTCAGTTTCCCCATCAACAAAAGGAGATGATACTGATCTTTTTAAAGTGCTTTGAAATCTAAAGATGAAAAGCTCTCAAGATAAGAGCTAGGTAGGGTATTAATATTATTACATACTTAATGCAAACTGCTAAATGAAATCTATTTTGTGGGACATAGTTGTGGCCAAAAATTTACAAGGAAACGGGAAAAATTCAAATGTCAGGTGAAGATAGGAGAGGTCCCAAGAAAACTCCCTTTCCAAGGAGGACAAACTGTAGTGTAACAAAGAAGCACTAAACACAGCTTAGGCCTTGGCTACACTGGCAATTCACAGCGCTGCACTTGTTGCGCTCAGGGGGTGTGAAAAAACACCCCCCGAGTGCAGCGCTGTAAAGCACCAGTGTAATCAGCGCCTGCAGCACTGCACGCTCGCTTGCAGCGCTGCAAGCTATTCCCCTCGGAGAGGTGGAGTACTTGCAGCGCTGCGAGAGAGCTCTCGCAGCGCTGGCGGCGCGACTACACTCGCGCTTCACAGCGCTGCCAAGGCCTCAGTGTACTAGCAGCTAATGCAGGGGTTCTAAAGCAGATGGATACCTAGGAATGCCACATCATGCCCCTTTGTACAGCGTAGCATCTGTTCGGAGATAAGCCTTCGAATAATCAGGATCCAGGGATAAAGAGGGTATAAAAATGTACTTGAATACTTGGCGTATTAAGGAGTCAGTTATTTGGCTACACAAAGAGCATTTCTCTGAGAACTGGGAACTTTTCATAAAGAAGCAAACAGGACAGATGTTTAGTGAAAACACTGCAGCAACACTGATCTCAATATACTTCCATTGTTTTTCCCTTTACAACCACAACCATCCACTATCATCTAAATATTCAAAATTGCAACCAAAATTTTAATTCTGTACTAAATATTACAGCTGTTTATATTTGCTGTATTTTTAATGTTTTGCTCCATAAGAAAACTCAGTATCTCCCCTGATATGTTTATATTTATATGAAAACCCATATTTGTTAAAAATGATAAAAATATATGTAAATTTAACTTTACAAAAAAATCCTTAGTCCTTTTCAGAATGATTTACTACATTTATCTACAATTAGAACACGCAACATCTTGGAAAACACTTGTGCTAACAAAATGTTTGTCAAATTATCCAAGTATAAAAATGTGGTGCCGGGGTGCACAGCCCCTGCGGGGGCACCAGGGGAGGAGGTGCAGCCATGGGGGGGGGACACAGCCCCCGCTCTGGACCTGGCTGCAGGACAGGGGTGTGTGGCCCTACTGCAGCCCTCGCCCAGCCCAGCCGCAGCCAGAGGGTGGGGCACGTGGCCCCGGGAAGCCATGATGGGGGTGCGCGGCCCCGCTGAAGCCCCCGGGCAGAAGCTGCAGGGCAGGGGCACATGGCCCTGGTTGCAGCCCCTGCCATAAGCCACAGGGCAGGGGCTGCAGGGTCCTGGTTCCAGCCCCAGTTGCAGGGCAGGGGCACACAATCTCGCTTCCAGCCCCATCTCCAATCCCTGACAGCTGAAGCTGAAGAAGTCACGGAGGTCGGTAAAGTCACAGAATCCATGACTGCCATGCCCTCCATGACTAAATTGTAGCCTTAGTAATGTTCAATAAAGGAACAGATGTGTATAGTAGGTCACCTTCTTGTAAATTTCTTTACATGATTTCCCCCCCGCCTAAGAAGCAGTCACAGCTCTAACTGAGCTAGCTCAAGAAGGGATAGGAGAAATCATCTGAAATGACTCAAAGATTCTTTGATAGCAAATTTTACTCACCTGGACTGCAATATTTGACTGCTTACATGTCCTCTATAGAAAATAAACAGGGCTTTGTTTTTGCCCACATGACAGAGTTCGAGTCAGAAACTATTTGACGGGCTCTGATGAGAACTGAGGCATGAAGTTGACTCTCCCACAACCAACAAGTATTAGAACAAACTAAAAGATGGACAATGTCATGATTTACATAGAAGGGCAAATTGTTCTTAGAAACAAATTGGGGTGTGGGTCTAGGAAAAAGAAACTATATAAATTGTTCCATCATAGGTAAAACAGCCAGCTTGCTAACCATTCTAAGTGAGATGCTGGCTACCAGAACGGTAACTAATTGTCATACAATATAAGGAAATGTCAACTAAT